ACACTCAACCAACCACCCCCCCCCACACACACACACAGACACACACACACACACATACATACACACACACATACAGATACACTCACATTTCCCTGAGGAGACAGTTTTTGTTCGTTCCTCCGTTTTTCCCTTTGGTTCTTCTTTCTTTTTCTTGGGGAAAAAAAAGAAAGAGAGGGGGGTATTACCGAGGTTGTGGTTTTTATCTTTTGCTAAACTTGAAGATTTGTGTAGGGTTACTACATATCATTAAATGTGAAACTCACCTTTTTCCACTTTTTAAGATAAGGCTGACGAAATGTCACATTATTAGTGCCAAACTGGTATATTTTCATCTAATCTATTTCTCAAACTGAAGTTCAACAAGGTGGCGTTTCCATTACAGCTCAAGATCCAATCCAGACGATACTGAATCCTCCCTCCTCCCTTTATTCTAATACCCCCCCCCCCCCCCACACACAAACGATAAATTGATTTTCTCATACTCCGCCACATGGTTTTTAAAAGAACGGATCCTTCACTTACCACAAAAATACCCCTTACTTTGTTCATTTGGTGATATAAGCGCATGCAGAGCTTAACGCATCACCCTGGATGTAAAGTTTAAACATGAAAAAATTCGTTTTCATAACTTATTGTCAACCAAATTTCTACAATTTGACAACTATAACACAAAGTTTAATACATTGCATATTGACATAGTCTGTTTAGTGTTATAAGCGACAGCTCCCGTAAGAGTGAAAACTCTTAAAGAAGCAGATGGCTCGAAGCAGCCGGTTGGATATTCTGCATGCTATTTTCTTTTCCTGTGTTGTTTTTCTCCAACAATCCTGGTTTTTTTTTCAAGCCCTCATTTACCGTTAACGTGTCAGAGTACTTCACTCTACTCGAACTGATCTAAACAAAACACCCAAGGCCGCATACCATACACATACTTATATTCTGTTCTCTGGGGGTTGTGGTTGACTGACTCTATTGATGTATTAGTAGTACCCATTCAGGCAGCTGACATTATTTCAAGGACTAGATCTGTGAATATAATAATATGTCTGACACGAAAAGGACCTCGATAAAATCAAGTCATATGCCTTTATTGTTTTTAAACTGACGTTGTGAATTAGGTGTCAGTCGTAAAGAACACACAATGCATTCGTTAGTGAGTAAGTTCTAGAACTCCCCAACCTCCCACCCCCTAAAACAAAACAAAGTAAAAGAAAACAAAATCAACATCCTAAACAAGACAAGACAAAATCAAACAAAACAAAAAAAACGAAACCACACCCCCCCCGAAAAAAACCAACAAAAAAATCCAACCAACCAAACAAACAAACAAACCCACAAAATGTACATACACTCAGGTACCAGTACACTCTCATACAGAGGTATTTATACCGAACCTCCTCCTTAATATTATAATAAGGTCTGAAACAATTATTAACTCCAGCTTGGTGTTGGGAGTCATAACGTATTATCTACAACTAACACAGAAGCACCCACAGAACGTATAAACGTTGCAACCACATAGAGCCTTCTTACCAATCAGATTGTGTAGCTGCTCAGGATCAGCTGTCAACATAGTATTAGCGTCTCATGTTATGCTCCCCAAAGGCCACTGCCTTCTATAATCTGTTTTTCTTTTTCTACTTCAGACAAATACTGAGAAGTAGCGAATTATCCATACCGCTACCCAGTTGTGCAAGACTAGCTCTTTCATTTTAGGATACTTAAGGTCCCTTTTAGAAATACACATACACATACCGCCTTACTATTCTCATCTCAGTGCCAACGCTCTACCTTATTATTAATGTGTTCGCTCGCTGATCGGATTGCTGGTCTGTAAATCCCTAACCTCTACCTGAGAGGCCACAAGGTTTTTGAAAGAATTTGGTTAATATTTAACTACGACAAAGTTGCCCTTCACTGTAAAGTGCCCCTTTTCACCTATTCGAAACAAGTTTGAGAGAGTGAAGGAGGTATTAACCTTTTCTATAATTTGCCCATCTCTGTCGGTCTCTTGACCTGGATCTGATTCTTTCCATGTGTCACTGTGACTAAAATACTATGTCTTTCTTTTTGTTTGTGTATCTGTCTCTTTGTTTCTTTTTCAATATGTACACACACATATACACAAACATACACACATATCCACACATATCCACATACACATAAACACTCTGTCTCCCTCCCCCCCCCCCTCTCTCTCTCTCTCTCTCTCTCTGTCTCT